ATGAAGCGCTTAAGTAAACTGTTGCTTCCAAGATGTCTCGTACTAGGATTATACAAACCACTACCTACTCAGATTTATCGCTTTGTCGACGCCACAGAATTCGCATATGGTGTTGTGGCGTATGCTCGTTTTAAAGATGTCTCGTGTCAAGTTCATCGTTCCTTTTTATTAGCCAAGTTCAGGGTTGCTAAGCCAAAAATAAAAGCACCATGTTATCATAATCCCAAAACAACTCTAAAAAAGCCTAAGAAAAGGAAGGTCACCAAGCCGAAAGTGAAGACACCGAAAAAGCCAAAGGTCACTTTAACAAAGAAGTCAGTAAATAAGACCGTGAAGAAGCAGACAGCACATATTCGCCGTGGTATTGTACATGGTGTTGGGAAAGACGCCGTTGTGCGAGTTGTGAATAAGAGTAAGGATGGTTCTGATAAATTTAAAAAAGCCAATGCTAATCGTAGACAGATTATGTGTAGTTGGAACCAGAATAAGATAGCAAATGCTCTTTTAGAAAGAGGTTGTGAATGGCGTTTTAAACTTCCTAGAGCTAGTCATCGAGGCAGTGTATGGGGACGCATTATAAAGTCGATAAGAAGGATTCTACAATCACTACTGTTTCAAAAGGTATTGACGGACGAGTCTTTGGAGATGTTTTTAATAGAGATTGAAGGGATAATAAACAATCGACTATTCGTAAAGCTAGTTAACGACTGTGATGACCTGGATGCACTTACGCCAAATAAGTTATTGTTAGTTTACAGAGGTGTATCATTCGACGAAGCGCAGATGAGTAAAACGTGCTTATATAACGAGAGATGGAAAGAAGCTGAAAAACTAGCCAACCTATTCTGGAACAGGTGGTTACGGGAGTACCTACCAACCCTTCAGGCGAGATCTAAGTGGTTGGACATGAAAATGAATTTACAACCAGGAGATTTATTGTTAGTAAACAATATTGGCTCACCAAGGAATCTGTGGCCGAAAGCTATAGTTAGACGGGTCAATTATGGTCCAAATGGACGAGTCAGAACAGTTCGACTGAAGAGATCAGCCGGGATATGCGGAAACTGTCTCTTTGGAGAAGCCGATTATATAGACGTGACAGTAATGAAGCCTGGATGTGGTGTTCGCTTGGGGGGGAATGTTAGTTATGTCCATAACTAACCAATCAAATCGTTGCTTAAGCTCCCACCACGTTAACATGGTCTGATGTGTCTGTAAACTATCCCTGTTGCATGTGACCTACCAATTGAAAGACATTATTATCCTATTATATTAGTGTGACTCATAAATTTATTCATTTTATTAAGACACGCAATACTGGTCGGTATGTTTGTGCGTTTCACTTAATGACTGTAATTCTTTTATTATTGTACTAATCTAATTGTTTTTATGTTCAGAAACAGATAAAGTTTAAAGCCAAGTTGTCCTTGTTCTGACTATAGCTTTCACATAGACTCTGGGATCGCCAGTATCGCGTTTACAGTTTTAATAGTATATCTGTAGGACAAAATAAATCCTACATGTAACATCATAAAATAAATCTAACCGAATCTGCCTCCAAATCCCCTGATACGGCCGAGAATGGGAAGAGTACGCTCTCCCTTTCCAGATGCTCTCACATGGACACGCGTACACAACCACTGACAGGGAAGTCCTACTCACTGCCTTCTCGTGGTATTACTGTTGTATACGAAATTGAGAGGACGAAAAACGAATGTTCGGCGCTTTAACCGAGTTGGTGGATACGGAAAGTCCACCTAGGAGAGTTGGAAAACCCTGATTACAAACCAATGGTGCACATGAGCTTCAGTATCCTGAAGGAACAAATGTCGAATGAATCAGTCGTTGGTCACCGGCTACCATGGAACTGCATCTTCTTACGATGCTCCACTGCCTTGTGGATCAGACCTTTAGATCGGAGGCTCCAGGTGTGGCCCCTAAGAAAACCACCTGCTGCGGTCTGGGCACCCGGACAGTATCACAGCCCTTACACAAACCAAATGAGATTTGTGTGGTGCATATATATCTGGTGCTCCTTTGTACCAATATTTATGTGTTTAAATAAGTAAATAAAAACCTTTTTCCATATAGAATTATAAGTTTAACAATAAATATCAGAATGGGAGTTTGTGGAGATTGAAGTAATTAAGAAGTTCAATTGATGAATCGATCTAAGCTAGACCATCATTGAGAACCTGCAATCACTGGACGGATGTTTCGTTTTAGTATGGCGCTTCTCAGCAATGTGCATCCATGATCCTGAATCGGGGACTCGAACGCAAAACCTTCGGTCTCTCACACGAACACTTAAAATCTAGACGTAAAGGTATATGACGGACTAAAAATAAACGTATACCCTATGAAAATTTCAAAATCATTTTCTTATCAAAAGAATTGTGCTAGTTATCATGGTGCTATTTACAACCAGAAGTTTGCTTCTAAGGAAATTTGTTAAATTTACATAACCTCCTTGCCTTTTACATTAACTGCTGCGATAAGAATTATGAATGGTACAGTTTGAGAACTATTTATGGATCAATACTATGTCTATATCTTTATCGTATAATTGCTAAATAACTAAACTACTCATATTCGCGTCCCTCTTATTATAGGCTTTATTTTGACTTATGGACTATTATTATACGACTTGCCACTCATGAATTATGCCCTGTCTATTAATTACTATCTTCCTTATTCACAGTCACATTTGGCTTAAACTCGTACAAATGTTGCTTCCTATTTCATGGTAAGATATGGTCTGTGTGGTTGGTATACAAACTCAGTATGTTTGAAATACAAGATTCATATCTCGGAGGCTGAGATTGGTGTTCTGGACTTAACTGGCTGGGCTAGGCAGAAAACATAATCGATAAAGACTCTAGACCGCTCATATAGGTTTTATGTGTCATTGATTCGATCGATAATTCACTACTCTCTAATTGACGGTATTCACAATTGATTGATCACTGGGTGGTGATCAATGTCAGGCGTGTCAAGTCCGTCTTAGTGTTCATCGAATGCTATTGATCAAGTTGCAATGTGACCACTAGTCTATGTGGCTCAACACTGCGCCCACTATGTTGAGATAAGATGGTGGTTGGAGGTGGTCAACAGGAAACCCTGGACTCGGGTTTCGTATTACTTGCAACTCGTCAGCAAGGTGTTCTTTTAATCTTGAGGAAACTGCTGCTTCCTGACGGATTCGATCCCGTTTCGCCCAGCTTCACAGTCAGAGACGTTACCACTGAGCTATTCGGGACGCGACCGACCTCCTGTAGGACTGAGCTGTAATCACAATTGATTGATCACTGGGTGGTGGTCAATGTCATGTGTGTTAAATCCGTCTTAGTTTTGATCGAATGCTATCGATCAAGTTGCAATGTGACCACTGGTCTATTATTATCACAGTATACATTAACAGCGCATCCAGGCAACAAGATATAACACTCAGTTACTAGCATCATAATTACTTTATTATATTTATTATACTTACTTTTGTTTTATATCAATATAAATTTGTTTATCATTCTCGAAACTTCCAGAAATCATTAAAATTGATGATAAAATCATAAAAATGGATAAATACATGACCAAAAGTAATAAAAGAAATCTCCCTTGTAACTAATCCTTCAAAGAAATCTTCTTTTAGAATATGATCATCATCATAAAAGAGAAATGTGAATATGTAATTAACTAGCTTTCTAATTATTGATTCATTCAATAAATCAATAAATTTACCTAATAGAGATAATGTCTAAGTTTAAACATTTTTGATTGGTTAATTCATAAGTAGAGAACAACCAATCAGGGAAGAAATCACGTGAATTAATGGTTTGAGAATATTATTATTATTATTATTTTCCCCCCTTTATTCCCATATGTATTGATTAAATTTACTTAGATTTAATTTAATATGGTTAATGTTTGTTGTTTTTCATAGATGAAATCGTGAGTCAATTGAAGGTAGGCGACTATGGAAAACCTGAAAGCACTGGACGGCCGTTTCGTCCTATTGTGGGACTCCTCAGCAGTGCGCATGCACGATCCCACTTCGCGAGATTCGAACCCAGGACCTACCATTCTCGCGCCAGAGCATTTAACCGATAGACCACTGAGATGGCCGGCATTCAACGGTGTTAATGTTTAACTTCAACCAACGGTCTAGCTTCAATTGACTCATGATTTTAACTATGAAAATACTGAAATCTCCACAAAACCCTTTCTGTTTGTTGTTTTATTGAAGAGCTCTATGTAGTAGAAACTTATTGTTTACTACTTATAATGATGAATGAAATTATTTTTCAAAATATCGAAGTAATAAAATAATTATTTTTTAATCTTTAGAATTAGGAAGAAGCGGTGGAAGTGAATAGGATAGACATTGAGGAAAACAGTTAACTGTGTTACATGGTAGGCCCATACATGGAATCATAAAAAAGGTCAAAGGAAAATAAGAAGACCAAAGAACACATTACGCCGAGAAATGGAAACAGATATGAGAAGAATGAACAACAATTGGATAGAACTAGAAAGGAAGGCGGAGGACAGAGTGGTTTGAAGAATTCTGGTCATTGGCCTATGCTCCATTGGGAGTAACAGGCGTAAGTAGGTAAGTAATCTCTAGAATACTGAACTGGCATCCAACGGTGTTAATGTCTAACTTCAAGTAATCCAGGAAATTGAGCCACCGTTAGACATTAACAATGTAGGATGCTAGCTCAGTGATCTAGAAGTTAAAAGTTTGCACGCGAGACAGAAGATCCTGGGTTTGAATCGTGCGAGCGCGATCGTGGATCCTCACTTCTGAAGAGTCCTACAATAGGATGAAACGGTCATTCAGTGCTTTCAGGTTTCCCATGGTGGGGTAGCTTCAATTAAATCCTGAATTCAACTATAAAATATTATTAATCAGTAATTCACTGCTAAATGTTATTAGTAATTGAGAATTCATTTAACTCTGACTTGAGATTGAGTTAACTAAATGAAGAAATCATATTCAAATGTTAACTTATGAAGGTAAAATAAATGATGAAAAAGAGGTTGGTTATCTTAACACTACTTAAATAAACTACTTGCAAATGTTTTTCATGAGAAACATAGTTCAAATTTGTTAAGTATATGGGAACTGAAACATTTGAAAATTCTCAGCTCGAATCCATCAAGAAGGATTTCTAATGGTGCATTAAATGATAATAAAGAAAACAATCAACTACTTGAAGTGTCTGAGTTCTGTCAAATGTAATGATGAAATGATGTCCTACCTATATACTAGTAGGTCAAATTCTGAAGTTCCACCATGGTGATCATAATGTCTCTTGTATCTTATCGAATAATGCTCTTCAATTTGTGCTCTCTCTATCACTACCTCTCTGATTTCCATTCGATAAAATCTATTGATTATAGTTCGATTTCCTTTTCACCTTGATGTCATTTACTCGTATATTAACCCAGACTGTTTTTGATATGATCGTATATGTGCTAATCACCAACATGTTTATTGTGTCTGTAACTTATTTTGTATGACCGTAGATGCCAACTCACGCTTAATTGAATTGAGTTGGCTCACATGCTTTCTCCTATCCGCTTCGCTTCGCTCTCTCCTCTTCTCTTCGTTTTCCTAATCGTCTGTTATAGATCTACGATTGTGTGAAGAATGGGTACTTGAAATCCATTCTCGTGTTTGACTTATTTTAATTCCCTTATTCACTAGCGCGAGTTAATTCGATGATTATATACGAGGGTATTCAGGATGAATATTTCGATGACAATCATTGATACGACATAACCGGAGTCAAATATCAAGCCACTAAAGTATTTTCTTTAAAAAAATTTTGAACAGAGCTATGTCATGAACTTGAAGTAGACGTATATGTTTGTTCTCTTTTAAATGAAGATACCGATAAAATTAAAACTGTTTAAAACACTTTGAGTAACAATCCAAGTCTATTTTAGATTCATTTGCCTCATTCAAAATGGACGATGTTACTCCATGAATGGATTTGCCGGTATTTGACTTTTCTACAGAGAATGAAATCATAGAACGTGTTTCTGTATCAGTAACCTTGAAATTCTGATCATCCCATCTTGGTGACTGACAAATTAATGTCGGCATGGATAAAAAAGGCTCTCTTGGTTTTAGCCATAATACGTTATCTGTAGTGTAAGAGAAATGTGTGTCTACTGATTTGAAGGTGAGTGTGTTTCACAACAGTTCTCTAAATATTTCTTTGTGCCAATGAAACATGGCCCATAAAAGTAGAAGGTGGTTGTATATTGCAAGTATTTGATAAAATCTATCTACGAAATATCACTTGCGTCTGATAATATCATGGGGTGACTAATCTGTTTTGTAAGGCTACTAAACGTCTTATGATAGCTTTATTACTACTTATAAGTAGTATAAAATATACAAAATAATTTTCAAATCGGAACACTAAATGGAGTTTATAAACGACATGACTTTATGAACATATGTCACAACGTGCATAATTTCCAAATTAGCTATTTTTACGTCTTCAAAAGAAGATTCATATTAAGTAGTAGAACGATTATTATTTAGAGAATCATCAGTAACAGTTTGTCCCACATGACAGCTTTTTAATGAAAAAAACGTAAAAAAATAATCTGACTCAACAAAGCAAGTATAAAACAATATGGAATGTGTTTAATGTATTATCAACTTTTGGGAACAACAGATATACTCTAGTGTTGATTACCACAAACAAAATAAAATATAGACCACGATAGAAAACTTGGAAGCATTGGACGGCTGTTTCGTCCTAGTATGAAACTCCTCAGAAGCACAAATAAACTCCCTCCCAATATAATAATCACGTACTCACGAGTGACCAACTTCAAGAGGTATTTCCTGGAGTTGTAGTGACCTGTGGAGTTCAACCAGATTTGTTGTGAGGCAGTCACACACTCAAGACAATGGTGAACAGTGGTTCAATATCACTTATTGATTGAAGTTAGACACTAACACCGTTAGATGCCGATTGGCTCAGTGGTCTAGAATTTAAGTGTTTGTGCGCAAGACCGATGGTCCTAGGTTGGAATCCCGCTCACTGCTGAGGAGTCCCATACTCTCTCCACTACATTGTTCGTTTTAGGAAGGACCTCCACAACAAAGTAAATCGAACATATCTCACATCATTAAAAATGTTATTCCCTTTTCGACGGTCACCTTGTAGTAGCTGGTCTTATGTCCAACCCACATAGCTTATTCTAGCTTCTAAAAGAACCATTCTTCTCAAGCTACATTTCGACCTTGTTAAGTATTCCTTTATCCAACCCTGACTATTTTTATGTAAGCGTATGTGTGTTCATTCCCTATCTGACCCATTGCACACCCGTAACTTATTTTTGCTTGACTATGAATATCGATTAATGCTTGATTAAATCGAGTTGACCCATACGCCTTCTTCACCGCGCGTCATTTTGTTTCGCTCTCTTCCCTTCACTTCGTTTCTCTGATTATCTATCTAGATCACTGAGTGTACAAAATAAATGTATTCAAAAATCCATTCGTTTATTTGACTCATTTAATTCCGTGATTCACAACTCGATTTAAGTTCATAATTTTATACGAGGATTAGCGACATGTATATCTCAATAGAAACCAGAAACAATCTAAATCAAGTCAGTTATCGGGCCATGAATACCATTATTAATGTATGCATTCTTGATGGTTGCCCTTATAAATGCTCTCCCTTATTAGTATGAACCTTTTTTGCTCTTTCTCTTTTGAATGGATGCTGTTTAATATACTACTAAAATCAATCATTCGTCAATCATTTCTCCAAGTATATTTCAACATATTGAATAGTATATACATATGAAAGGTTATCATTCATCCATGAAGTTTCATACATTCTCATTTTAAGCAGATCGGAAAATTCAGGATCTAATTTCCTGTTGAAAAGTATACAAATTCATATTTATAATCAACCAATGAATAAATTACTTATTCTGAACTTAAAATTTGGAAATACTCATCATTATTTGCTATTGTTTACTTGAATCATCCTATTCATGTTCATGATTGCAAGTGATCAGTCTCTTATTGACATATATGCATATTGGGCGTAATAGTTCGATATCGCCTTATTCACAAGCATTCTAAGCAAAGATGGATAACGACCAGCAGTGGAATACAGGACGCGTATTTCGTCCTATTTAAGATTCGTCAGCTGAGTGTACTTGCATCTCACAGTTGATGTTCACTTTAGGACTCGAACCCAATACTGTTCGCTTCAAACACCACCACATTATCCAATTAGCTACTGAGTCCTGGTGTAGTGAACAAGAACACGTCTGGCTACAATCTAATGTATTTAAACACAAATTACAGACTATCTCACTAAATTCTGATAACCATACAATGAACAGTTAATTTGCAAAATAACAATAAATTATCTCAATCTTCACTGTTCCTTCTGTAAATATCAATCCATCTTCTCTAATTTTATTACTTTTGCATTTTCCTACCAATTGCGTTTCATTTCAATTTTTTCCTTATCGATCTTCTGCCAAAATACATTCTATGTCTGACCATTGCCATATACTATTTATGTGGACATAAGTAGCCAACACCACACTCGTCCCCCCCCCTTTAAAGCATTCATTCTTGCGGTGGTTCTGCTCGCCCTGAACACTATCTTCTTTTACTGAAGTCTGTGCCAATTTCTCCGTCAAAATGTCGAGTCTGCGGCGCTTTAAACACTATCACATTATCCACTTAGCTACTGAGTCCTGGTTTCAAGTCCCACTGCTAACCACTATCCATCTTTGCTTAGTATTCATCATTAATCATTCTAATAGATTACATTATTAAGTGTTCTATTATATTATAGACTAGATTTACAACTTATCATCACACATTACTTACATTGAATATTAATAGCAGTTAATGTTTAAAATCAATATAGTGATTATTCTGTATCCTCTCTCTCTCTCTCTCTCTCTCTGTCTTCTTTTTTTTGTTGTTGTTGTGGTTGAATAGTTTCGGAAGTAGTACAACTTTTTTTTCTACTATAAATGTAACAAATTTTTTTTACATCACATGCAAATCAAAATAATAAGAAAAAACAAAAGTGAGCATAGCAACATAACATTTACGTAAACACACACATATAAACATACATACAAACACACACATACACACACCATCATACTGGCGAATTTATTATTTTAAATGTCAGCAAAAATTTACTTTTTTTTATTTTTTTTTTTAGAAAAACTGCATATCAACTAAAGGTGTTGAAGATAGACGTAATAAATTAATGACAGTTAGATTGAAAAACAAACTTCTTTCTATGTCATATTTAATATATAAAGTTATTTATAAAATTATTTTAAAAAAATGTGTAATTCAATTAACAAAACGTGTTATACTTCTTCGTTTTTTTTTGTTGTTGTAAAATACTGACTAACTCCAAGCAGACTCTGGATACTAAGAAAGTCGAAATGCCTCAGTTACTAAGTTGTAAGGTGACTTGAAGAAAAGGTATTCTTTTTTTTTTGAAAATGGGGGGAGGGGGGTTATGGAGATCTAGTAAAAACCTTGAAAAAAAAAACAGCCAAAAAATGGCTTTGGAAACATTGAACAACATCATATTCAATCAGCATTCAATAGAAGTTTTGCCAGAAATATCTAGTAAGTGGAAAGTCATATGTCGCGTTTCTGATTGAATGATTACCTATTACTGCTACTATGTTTAATAGCATTCCAGAATTTTCAGGAAAACTCAAGACCATCTAAAATACTATAAATACCGTAGATTTTTTTTATATATGAATAAACATTTGGAGTAAAGCGTATTCTTCCATATTTCACGCCTTGTCTCTCGTATTCAAATTGCTGTGTATATTTAGTGTGGAAGATTACTGGAGAGCTTAGTAATCGAATCTAACGTTCACTTAGAAGACTTATCAATTATAAACTACGAAAATCATAAACTTAGTATAAGCATCACACTTTACTTTATTGTCAATTCATACTTACTTACTTACTTACTTACTTACTTACTTACTTACTTACTTACGCCTGTTACCCCTTGTCGAGGAGCATAGGCCGCTCACCAGCATTCTCCATCCAACTCTGTCCTGAGCCTTCCTTTCCAGTTTAAATGGATTGAATAATTTTTTCTGATTAGCGTTTTTTTAGCCAGTTAGCTTTTCTAAGGGATGGGGTCACTAACCCTATGCCCAACTCTCCTCCTTTACCTGGGCTTGGGACCGGCAGTAACTCTAGAAGAAATACTGAAAGTGATAAACTATCATAAGGTCATACACAGAGTACTAAGGTATCACATTGTTTTCTCATCGTCCTGTTTAAATCCTAGTGAAGATTAAAGAAGTACGGGTAACTTCTGGGATCTATTAATGGACTAATATTCTATAAATATTCTTAATGTACACTTATTCAGTGATTGGATTGTATGTATCTATATTCCTCTTATCATAAGCTTCATTTTTACTTATAGGTTATTATTATCATACGATCTACTGGTCTTAAATTATGTTCAGTTTATTAATTATCGTCTCCCACAATCATAACTACGTTTTGACTTGATCTTGTATACATGTTATTTCCTATTTTATGGTGTGATGTGGTCTGTCTAGCTGGTAATATAAACAAGCGTTCTGGACTCAACTGGAAAAGCTAGGCGAACAAAGGACTAATAAAGACGCTAGGTTGCTCATTCCAATCGAACGTCATTGGTTTGGAATAGTACTAAGATTGAATAAGTCGTGTTCCGATTGGCGAATGAATCACGTGATAACTAGCTGAGCTTCAAGTCATATCAAAAACACTGACTGACTGATTAATGAAGACTTGTTGTCAGAAACTTTCAGTGATCTGTTATACTTCTCTAAAAGTTTGAAATGATCCTTATCAAATGGATTCTATTATTTCTTTGTTTAAATTAAAGACGAGCAAAAACCTGGTGATTACTAGGTCTATTAAGAGGTAGGTAAAAAGCAGTCAATTTTATGAGTATGATAAACGAGATAGAATTTTATTGTTGCTATGTTGTTGAAACTTTTAGCCATAAAAATTACACAATCAATACACAAGATACTGGGAGCGTTTAGTAGAAGTCATCAAGCAAACACTGTCATAAAGAAAGAAGAAAATTATGATGTCCTCTTCTTTCTGAAGGTTCTGTTGATATGATCTTTTTGACAATAAAAGAAATGTTCGTCACAAACCCACTAAATCAAGCAAACTCACTCATTTCAAAGCTATTTGTTGTGGCTTCAGACATTGATTGATATCATTTTCTAAAATTACCAATCGGATCTCTAAGTATGAGTTTTTTCTTCGCTCAGTCTATTATTTCTTTTACAGCCTGATATCCAGGACACTCTATATCAACCTCGAAACGAAGCAAGATAAGCTCTATTTCTTCAGCTTTACTCAAACCTCTATCCCACCCTTTGAGTTTAAAGAGAAGTTAGAAGTCAACTCCCATTATTTCTTTGTTTCGAGCACACTTTAGTTTCACAATATGAACATACGGAACCACATCACACTATGAAATGAAAAATTATAATTATACGTGAACAAGCCAAATGTATCTGTATATAAATCAAGCTATGAATAACTATTAGGCAATACAATAGCAATACTAAGCAGTATAATAAGAGGCAATAAGTTAAATGGAAGCTTATGATGAACGGGATATGCGAACATAGCAGTCTAGTTACTTAGCAATTTTACGGTAAAACTGTCAGTGATAATAATGGTTCAAAAGTTCCAACTTTTATCATATTCGTCCTGTTGTAACAATGTTCTACTGTCATATAAACTAAATCTAGTCGAATGTCTGGTTCATAGGACTAAATTTACTAGCTCTGACGACATCTTCGAAAAGTAACTAAAAGTTATCCATGAACTACCTGTTTTAATGAACATTCATCAAAGTTACTATCGTAGCATACATGGCGAGACTATAATTTATGGAAGAAACAATCAGATTTAGGATATCAGGTCTCAGATTTTGGCACGAAATTCATTCACCTATTTGTCTAAATAGCGTCTTAGGATTTTAGTCGATGTCAGTTCGTGATGAAAACAATAAATCTAAATCCTTACCCTAATCATCAACTGTAAATTATGATTCCAACTGGTTTATGACACTCATTAAGTCCTAATTAGTAGATGCCCATTTTCAAAGTCACTTTAGCGTTGCTTAAAGGTCGTCCATAAATTATAATCTCATCGATATAGCTAGTAAATTAATGATGAGAAGTATGAGAGAGACCTTAGAATTAGCATTCAACGCACCAAGATTATGTCCTTATTTATTTAAGCAACCAATAGGTGAGTTAGCGAAATAATGAAGAGTTGTATAGTTCCACCACCTTTTTGTGTATTCACATACCTTTATTTACATTCGCTTCATTAATTGCTGTGAGGATGGCCCACAGGTAAACTCAAAACAGCTCAGAAAGAGTTGAATATATTCCATCCAATTATCTTTTGCAAGAATATTCCAGAATCTTTATGTGTACTTTCCTTATTGACCAAATGCTAATAACCTCCTGTATGCAGATTAGAGGACTATAATAATGATTTCGTTTTTACTAAAAACTATGAATACTTGACAATTTGTACCACGGTTGACACTGTTTGGAATAACATTCTTTTCACTTGTCTTCTGTCTTCTTATTTGCAAGTTCGAGAGTTCCACTGTTCGAGTGCTCGAATTATACGAGCTATATTAAGAATCTAAGCTCTAGATATAATTTATTTATTATTTGTTTATTTAAACACATGAATATTGGTACAAAAAGGCACCAGATACATACGTGCCACATAAATCTCATTTGATTTGTGTGAGAGCTATGATACTGCCCAGGTGCCCAAACTGAAGTAGGTGGTTTTCTTAGGCGGCCACACCCGAAATCTTTGACCTAATGGTCTGATCCACAAGGCAGTGGAGCATCGTGAGGAGATGTAGTCCCATGGTAGCCGGTGACCAACAATTGATTCATACGCCATTTGTTCCTTCGAGATACTGGAGCCGATGTGCACCATTGGTTTTGAATCAGGGTTTTCCAACTCCCCAAGGTGGACTCGCCGTGTCTACCAACACGATTAAAGCGCCGAACATTCGTTTTTCGTCCTCTCAATTTCGTAAACAACATTAACGCCGCGAGTAGGAAGTGAGTAGGACTTGTGTGGCAGAGGTTATATACGCGTGTCCATATGAGAGCATTTGGAGAAGGAGGGCGGACTCTCCTCACTCTCGGCCGTACCAGGGCATTTTAAGGGGCTCTATAAATAACTATTACTTATCATTACTTTTACATATAATACAAAAGATTTTTATTCAAATGAATAATTTTAAACTTACATTTCTCAATTCTTATTCTGACATAATCAGTTCCTGTAATCCATCCTCGATATAATGTATCTGTTGAATTTCTAGATGATTTCTATCTTTAGGCAAAGTTTTGAAATATACATGTTTAATTCCAATACTTGTGTATTACTGTAGATCCATGATGATAAAATTATTGAGAATAAAGTTTTCCTAACAACGTGTATTCTACATTTATTGATTTCGTCTCTTACTTGTAACAGAAGTCCCTAAAACTCAATTTGAGCTGATTTGAAGAAACGAAGATAAAACTTTGATAGTTAAAGTTGAGATCATGAGTCACTTGAAGCTAAACCACCATAGGAAACCTAGAAGCACTGGACGGCCGTTTCGTCCTATTGTGGGACTTCTCGACAGTCTATCAGTTAAGGGCTCTGGCTCGAAACAGGTAGGTCCTGGGTTCGAATCCCGCGAGTGCGCGATCGTGGATGCGCAGTGCTGAGGAGTTCCATAATAGAACGAAACGGCCATCTAGTGCTTCCAGGTTTTCGATGGTGGTCTAGCTTCAATTGACTCACGCTTTGAAATATGAAAGTACTAAATCTCCACAAAACCCCTTCTGATAGTTAAGTTAATCAGCTTGGAAAACTAAATACTAGAAAAAGCATATAACTGATCTATAAACCTCTTACTTACTTACTTTCGCCTGTTACTTCCAATGGAGCATAGGCCACCGACCAGTATTCTCCAACACACTCTGTCCTGGGCCTTCTTTTCTAGTTCTATCCAGTTCTTGTTCATTCTTCTCATGTCTGTCTAAATTTCTCGGCGTAATGTGTTCTTTGGTCTTCCTCTTCTCCTTTGATCTTCAGGATTCCATGTGAGGGCTTGTCTTGTGACGCAATTGGGTGATTTCCTTTATGTGTGCCCTATCCATTTCCAGCACTTCTTCCTGATTTCTTCCTCCTCTGAAATCCAGCTTGTTCTCTCCCACAGTGACTTGTTGCTGATAGTGTCTGACCATCGGATCCGAAGTATCTTGCGTAGACAACTGTTGATAAACACTTGTATCTTCTGAATAATGGCTTTCGTAGTTCTCCACATCTTCGCCCCATACAGAAGAACTGTCTTGACATTTGTATTGAAAATTCTAACCTTGGTGTTGGTTGACAATTGTTTTGAGCTCCAGATGCTTTTCAGTTGTAAGTATGCTGCTCTTGCTTTGCCGATCCTTGCCCTCACATCTGCATCTGATCCACCGTGCTCATCAATGATGCTGCCTAGATATGTAAAGGTTTTCACATCCTCCAGAGCTTCTCCGTCAAGTGTAATTTGATTGGTGCATATTGTATTGTATCGGAGAGTCTTGCTTTTCCCTTTGTTTATATTGAGACCTACTGCTGCTGAGGCTGCTGCTACACTGGTCGTTTTCTCCTGCATTTGTTGTTGCGTTGATGATAGAAGAGCCTGGTGATCCGCGAAGTCTAGATCGTCAAGTTGCATCCTGCCTGTCCACTGTAATCCGTGCTTTCCTCCAGATGTTGACGTCTTCATGATCCAGTCGATGACCAGGAGAAAGAGAAACGGTGAGAGTAAGCAACCTTGCCTAACACCGGTCTTTACCTCGAATGAGTCGGTGAGTTGTCCTCCGTGGACGATTTGGCAGTTTAGTCCATCATAGGAGTTCCGTATGATATTGACTATCTTCTCAGGCGCGCCGTAGTGTCGAAGAAGCCTCTTTAGTGTTGTCCTGTCCACGCTATCAAATGCCTTCTCGTAGTCGATGAAGTTGATGTAGAGTGATGAGTCCCATTCGATTGATTGTTCCACAATGATCCGCAGAGTTGCGATTTGATCTGTGCACGATCTATCCTTACGAAATCCAGCTTGTTGATCTCGAAGTTGGGCATCTACGGAATCCTTCATCCTGTTTAACAATACTCTGTTGAAGACTTTTCCTGGTATTGAGAGAAGAGTGATGCCCCTGTAGTTATCGCACTTGCTAAGATCACCTTTCTTTGGTATTTTGATCAGAAGTCTTTTTTTCCAGTCTGTTGGTACTTGTTCTTCGTCTCAAATCTTACAGAAGAGGATGTGGAGTATCTTGGCAGTTGCTGCTACATTTGCTTTCAGTGCCTCCCTCGGGATGTTGTCTGGTCCCGCTGCTTTGCCACTCTTGATTTGTCTAATGGTCATGCTGATCTCTTCAATTGTTGGTGGGCCAACATCGATTGGGAGGTCTGTGGGTGCTGCTTCGATGTTGGGTGGGTTCAGTGGAGCTGGTCGATTCAAGAGTTCTTTGAAGTGTTCTACCCACCTGTTTCGTTGTTCTTCAATGTCGGTGATTACTTTGCCTTCCTTGCTTTTCACTGGTCTTTCTGGCTTACGGTAATTTCCAGCAAGTTTCTTTGTCGTATCATACAGTTGTCTCATGTTTCCCTCTCTTGCAGCCTTTTCCGCTGTTGTCGCTAAATCTTCCACATATTTACGTTTGTCGGTTCTGATGCTCCTCTTCACTTGCTTGTTTGCCTCTGTGTATTCGGCTTGTGCCTTGGCTTTTCCGCTCTGGTTCGGCTGGTATTGATTGCTGCCTTCTTGTTCCTCCTTGCTTCAATTTTATCCAGTGTACCAACAGTGATCCATTCCTTGTGATGGTGCTTCTTGTGACCCAGAACCTCCTGACATGTTGAAACGATTGCCTCCTTGATACCTTTCAAGTTGTTCTCCATGGTAGTCCCCTCTCCATTGAGTAGATCATGAAAGGCCTGGAACCTGTTGCTGAGGGTTATGATGAATTTGTTGAGTTTGTCAGCATCTTGAAGAAAGGCCGTATTAAACTTTTGTGATGTTGTCCGCGCCGTTGTCCAGTGCTTCTTGAGTTTTAGTTTCGTCTTGGCAACCAGCGAATGATGATCAGATGCTATATCAGCTCCTCTTCTGGTTCTCACATCCTCCATCGTACTCCTGAACTTTTTGTTGATGCAGATATGGTCGATTTGATTCTGTGTAGTGTGATCCGGTGAAATCCAAGTGGCTTTGTGTATGTTTTTGTGTGGGAATATGGTGCCACCTATGACCAGTTTATTGAAGGCACATAGGTTTGCAAATCTCTCACCATTTTCGTTCCTTTCTCCCAGTCCATGCTGTCCCATGACGTCTTCGTATCCAGTGTTGTCCTTTCCAACCTTGGCATTGAGATCTCCCATCAGAATGGTCAGGTCCTTGGTTGGGCACTTCTCTATAAGATCGACTGCCGCCTATCGTAGAATTGGTTTTTAGCGTCTTCATCGTAGTCGTTGGTCGGCGCATAGCATTGGATGACGTTCATTATAATGCACTCTCTCTTTGTTTTGAAGGAGGCTTTGATGATCCTTGATCCATGAGATTCCCATTCTATAAGTGCATTTTGTGCTTTTCTGGACAGCATCAATGCAACTCCTTGTGTATGTGGGGCATTTTCTTCTTCATGACCGGAGTATAACAGAAGTTCCCCTGAAGACAGTCGTTGTTGTCCAACCTGCGTCCAATGCGTTTCACTGATTCCAAGCACTTCCAGGTTGTATTTTCTCATTTCTGAAGCAATTTGGAAGACTCTTTCGGTCTCACACATTGTCCGGACATTCCATGTACCTATAAAAATTGTCGCTCTGGTTGTAAGAAGGTGCATCGGCCTCATGACTTCCGAATGAACTCGGCTTTCATCATGAGACGTCATAATTATTCCTTCTACTCCCAGGGCAGAGTTTGAATGGTTTGAATGATTTTTCTGGTTAGCGTTTTTTTAGCGAGTTGATTTTCTACGGGATGGGGTCGCTAACCCCATGCCCAACCCTCCTCCTTTACCCGGGCTTGGGACCAGCAGCAACCCCCAGAGGAGCTACAGGCGGAGTTTATAAACCTCTACCACCTTTTTAATTAGCTTTATGTTTTAAGTTTCGAATGAACTGGAATATGTAAATGCTTAAACTTTGAGCTAAATATATTAGTTAATAATGTGTAAGGAAGTTGTGACTAGAAACTAGATTTCACTAGTAACATTTGTTCAGTTTGTATAGTTATATAATATACCCTTGTCGACCAGGGTAATTTTGTATTGGTTTTCAGGAGAACCTGAGACCATCCAGACTTTCGCGTGACAACCTAAATAGTACAGTTCAATCCCGTTTAACAGGAGAGCCAGACACTACCCAGGTTTAACCCAAGCAGTACAGCTCAATCCCGCCCCATAGAAGAACCAGACAGTTTATGGGCTTCAACGGTACAATCTGAACAGTACAGCTCAATCCTGTGGTGCAACCACACAGGTAGTAAGCACCGATA